CCTACCATGCAGCTTGCAATGAATGCAGATTCTTGCAGATCACACTACAAAGAGAAATGAACCAATCCTTCAATCAATACTGAATTGAACCAAGTGCAGGAATTATTACTGAGCCAGCTTCCACACATTTCAACTGAATCAATTGTCTGCTGTCATTGTCGGATTTGTGGATCGCCAGTGTTTGATTCTTGATACTAGGCAAGATAGTTGACTGTGAGCTGTATTCATTTTTGTTTTGAAGGGGCATTCAAAACTGCAAAATGGTGGAAAACTTCTTTGCAAGTGCATCCATTGTTGGAGGTAGCTTGACCAATTGACTTAGGCCTAGAGTCTGTAAAGCACTGGGGAACTACAAGAATGAATTTTATTTTATTTTTTTCATATTTTCATTTTTAAACATTTAAAATTCACACATCCTAAAACTGAAATATTTAAGATACTATTACAGGTAGTCCTCGACTTATAATCACAATGGAGCCCAAAATTTCTGTTGCTAAGGGAGACACTTGTTAAATGAGCTTTGCCCCCATTTGACAACCTTTCTTGCCTCAGTTGTTAAGTGAATCGCTGCAGTTGATGTTAGGAATTTGGTTGTTCAGTGAACCTGGCTTCCCCGTTGACATTGCTCGTCAAAAGGTCGCAAAAGGGGATCACGTGACCTTGAGAACATAGCAATGTCATAAGTCATGACACTGTATACTGTACTGTACCATATGTCCTAAGTACAGTACCAACCAGCTGCCAAGCACCTGAATTTGGATCACATAAACATGAGGATGCAGCAAAGACCGTAACTGAGATAAATGGTCATAAATTGCTTTTATGGGGATAAATGGTTTTTCCAATGCCATTGTAATTTTGAAACTGTTGTAAGTCAAGAACTACCTGCACTAACTTGCTAGGTGTCTGCTTATTGTAGTCCAATCATGTGACATGATATATCTTGGGAGAGAAAGAAAAATTTCTGTGACTTATTGAAGAATATAGAGCCAAGGAATACCTTTATCCCTCTAACCACCCTGATTACCAACAGCAAGGGAATAGGCAAATAAATGTACCGAGGGGCCTAACAGGGTCTTAATGCAGCCCTGGCATTTCTGCCTATTCAACATACATTACAGGTACATCTTACCTGATGTTATGCAGAGATTTATACCACCAATGCCTTCATGCACAGGTGCCTCTATGCTTTTGGATTTATATGTTCCAAACAGCAACTTTTTTTGGACAGATGCATGGACTGTCTCCATGCTGTCTTCTCCCACATCCCCAAGTTTGCTTGCTGAGCAACAAGCTTTCTCTCCTCCTGTTCCAGCAACCTCATATATTTCAATTAGGGCGTCTTCCTGAAGGGGAAAAATAATGAAATCAAATTCTTAGCTAGGAGGAAAAAGCCAGACAAAGCTTGATTGGGGCAGCAAGGGGGAGGAATGCTTCCTCCCTATGTGCCTCATTTATCATTTACCAACCATCTGTGCTTACGCAGCGGAATGGGGTCTGGAAGCCACAGAGGCAGAAGAAAGGAAGCTTATTTTGACCCTTGCCCAAGTCTGCCTTGCACAGAGCATAACCAGTGGGCAAGTACTTCTGCAGCTGGAGACGTTGATTAGAACCCCACAAGGAGATGTAGCAGGACCTGTTTTAGGAGGGGGGGGCAGAAAACAGCAAGCTGTCAATTAAAGAATGTGGATGTCTACAAACGGTGCCAAAAGAGTAGCGTATACATAGAAAGCAACTGAACGGTTAAAGACCAAAAACATATTGCAGAACAGAGGGAGGTTTATGTTTAATTTTTAGATGGCCCCACAAGGTTTTTTTTCTCAAGCAACTATAATGAGCCTTTAAAGAAAATGATTGGATTAAAAGAATAAGCCTTTCCCCAGAAAAAGGTCTATTTCTAACAAGATATTTTAGAACACAGAGGGCATCTTCACAGAAGGGATTTACTTCATTCTTGGATTAACTCCGGATCCCAATGTTCTGCCTTTGGCAACCGAGCTGATCTATTTCCAGCCAGTGACGTCTGCGTGATCAAAATGATTACATGCCAGCAAGCAAAGCCCACCATTATATATTTCCATCATGAGAACTGAGGAAACGACTATAACATTTGCATGATGACATCATGAATATTTTATGGTTTGCCTTCCTTACCAACAGCTGTCCACTCCTGCCCCTCCCTCATCAGCCACCCAGGAGTTCCATTACAATGGAAAAGGGAACAGTCTGAATGCACTTTTCATCACTTGGTGTTTGAAGAAATAAAGATGCTGTTATTGACTTCTAATAATTAACAAACAACCACCATTCCATTTCCTTATAAATCTAAGTACATTTATGTTTATTCAAGTATCATATATGCATCCATTGTTTATACTGAATTAATGGGGAGGTAGCTGCTTCGTTCCTAGTAATCTAAGCAAATTGATGAGGAGGCTTCATTTGCTTACCAATTTCTTCAGCATTAATTCTGCCCATGCTATAAAAAGTTTTGTAAAGGTTTTGGGGTTGTTTTTTTTAAGTTAGCATGGATCTTTGGAGCAAAAGCTGCAAACTCGGATAGGACACAGTAGACATTTGAAGGCTCTTATAATCTTTCTCCATGAAGATCCAATGCTATTGGCTGCCAATTGATTAGGAGGAGGTCTTCTTTTCAAAAATATTTGTTCAAATATTTTGCACTAAGTTATTTGGAAGAGAGTTGTATGCCTTCTTCCTAAAATATCCTTCTGGTGCCTACCTTGAACAGTCCTTCAACATCTCTCTAGACCAGGGGTTCCCAATCTGGGGTGCTCGAAACCCCTGGGGGTCCAAGACGATATTCCGGGGGTGAGAGAAAAGTCCAGGTAAATAATAGGATATTGGCCATATGTTGGCATTTTTATTCCAGGGGGTGCGAGGTTCGAGTGAAATTTCTTTAGGGGTGCGGGGTGAATAAAAGGTTGGGAAACATTGCTCTAGACTCTTGTTTCTTTTTTGCTGTCCAAAAGGTTTTTGCTCACCAGTAAGTTATATCATCACAACAAGGATACCTTTGAATGGATGTTACATTATCTATGTAACATTCATGGAACTGAGTTGATGGTTAATAAAAGTCCTTAAGACTGCTTGTGCAGAATTCTCTGCCACTGGGCAACAGTTTTTGGACATAAGATTTAATCACTAGTGGTTTGACGGGGTGGGGGGGGAGAACAAGAGCCTCTCCCCGCCTTTCAACAATATTTTTAAAAGCTCGATCATTCTCTGACCTCTTGGCAGGCAAGTGATGAACAAAATACATAGTATGTATCATATGAATAAGGACCCAGGTTCAAGCCATTGGCCTTATCCAAAGAAGTTTGGAAAGTTTAACCATTTCTGAATAAAGATAAATAAAGCTTAACTGAATCCTCAGAAAGCTTCTGCCAATCAGTGTAAACTATTCTAAGCTTGACAGATCAATTACTTGACCCAGCATATAATAGATTCCAATATTTCTTGAATCTAAGCTATGCTGGTTCTGTTGGATAGCCCAGGTTGAATTATGTGGAAAAGGCATGAGAAGTTATCTCCATTCATTTTTGTTGAACCATTTTGTTACTGTTTTCCTAAACATAACCAATGGTAAATAGTCTATAATTTTCATAGTAGTTTATTTGTCTCATTCTAAGATTTTATTTCTGTACTATTTTAATTTTTTTTTAAATAATACAGTAGTACAGAAATTAAAGCATAGAATGAGTCTAATAAAACCCCTATGAAAAATCTGAAAATTATAACACACAGTTGGATTGTTTCATTTTTTTTAAATGTACAACATTGTTTCAAAAATAAGGTATTATTATCAAAATTTTATAATCAAATAAAATCAGCCTGGGCAAAATTTCAAAAACAGTCAAATAAAATTCTATTTTATTACGTGCTTTGTATGTGGAGTGTGTTTAAAGCAATCCATTTATATTTTTCCAGAAGCATAAAATCAGTTCAGATTCAGCAAAAGCCAGAATGATTCACATTTTATTTTTCTGATCCCTTTTTCAGTAACTTTTTTAATGAAAACATCTAACAACTTTTGATTAACACTTTGATGGTTTAGTGAAAATCATGTACTGGAGGTCACCGGCTTTCACACAAGGTAAACGATTTCAGCTAGAGGCAGATAATGGCAAATCTCTCAGCTGGGCAGTTCTCCTTTCAATTAACCTTATGATGACAATCTTATTCCCCACCCCACCCCCAGGTTCTACATTTTCCTGGAAGAGTACGTTTTTCATTAAAATGGAAGGATAGTTTTTGGTTTGCTGAGAATACAGCAATAGCAACAGATGAGTTTCCAAAGGAAGCAGACTGAAAGCAACTGCTCTTATCCAGCACAATACCAAAATGAAAAAACATGGGTCACAATGGCATGGCACAACCATAGCAGAATAACAGAGTTGGAAGGGACCTTAGAGGTCTTCTAGTCCAACCCCCTCTCAGTCAGGAAACCTTATACTATTTCAAACAAGTGGCCATCTGAATCTCTTCTTGAAAACCCCCAATGATGTTCTCCACTTGAAATTCAGCTAGTGTATGGTCATTTTGACGTGCTTTGCTGGAAACATGTCCGGAGAGAGAGAAGGGACAGGAAAAAAATATTCAGGACAGCTGCCAGGTCCCCTCGTTGAGAAAGGACCTGCTCATGTTTGCGTTACCTGTCGTAATTGCCAGCAAATGCTGGAAGGGTTTCATCAAGCAAGCCTGATTGACTGCAAAGCCATAGATATGGTTCTCTGGGATTTTCCAAAATGCTATTGATAAGAACGAGGCAAAAGAAAAATTAGCTTTCTTTCTGTGTTCCCCAGCTTGAAAGATTTTCTTGCTTTCATCTCTATCAGTGTAAGAAGCACCATTAAAATGACCAACGTTGTCAACTTCAACACCCCCCCTTTGGATTTGTACTGATGTCACAATACAATTTTAATCACTGGCCCACTGCCGATTCCAGTGGGGCAAATATAACATCATCTCTCCATGAGAGTTCATGGAGTAGTTACACTCTTTGAGGTATCCAAGCTTATCTGTCAGTTCTTTAGCAAAGTTTCATGTTGGGGTTCCTGGTAATGATACAAATATTTTCTGAGGTGTTCAATGTACCTCAATAATATATATTTAATTCTTTTACTGACTTCACTGTAAAATCATAGGAAACTAATTTCATGATACACAAAGTCATCCTCTGATCCTTTATAAGGATGTTCAAGCATAGGTGGGATTCAAATTTTGTAACAACTGGTTCTGTGGGCGTGGCTATGTGGGCATGGCCATGTGACTTGATGGGCATGGCTTTTTTTGCAGCACCCCCCCCCTCTGTTTTTTGGGCCTTCTGGGCTTCTAGCTCCTAGTGGGTATTTTTGCTCCAGAAGGCTTCCCTGCGGCTCAGGAAGGAAAAAAATGGAGTATGGGGGGGGGGGGCATGCAGCACCCCACACACTCCATTTTGGGGCCTTCTGAGCCTCAGGGGAGCCACCTGGGGGGTCATTTTTGCTCCCAGAAAACTTCCCTAGAGCCCAGGAAGCCAAAAATGGAGCCAGGGGTTGCCCACACTCCATTTGGGGTCTCCTGGGCCTCAGGGAAGCCTCCTGGGTGTGTGTTTTTGCTCACAGAAAGCATCCCTGGGGCCTAGGAAGGAAAAAAATGGAGGGGGCGGGAGGGTTCTGTGCCCCCCCCTCCATTTTTTGCCCTCCTAGGCCTCAGGGAAGCCTCCTGGGTGAAGCAGTAAGTCAACGAGGGGAATCCTGGCACAGCTGATCATAGGAACAGCTGATCATCAGGAGGGAAAAGAAAAAAGAAATACCTTAAGGAGTGAACTGGGCAGGGAAGAATGCAGTCAGCGAAGTCAGGCATGCATGCAATGTTGTGCATGCGTGATAAGGACTGACTGGGAGGGGAAGGGAGGGGCGGGCAGAGAGGGGTGAGGCCAGCCAATGGCACAATTTGCCAGTTCTCCGAACTGTGCAGAATTATAACAACCGGTTCTAGAGAACCGTTCCAAACCGGTAGAATCTTATTCCTGCGTTCAAGCCCTCCATGCTAGAAAGTGTGTTCACAGCTAACATCTATTTTCCTACTTAGGAGCAAGAGTTAAATCCTCCTGTCGAATGTCCAAAGCAGCAATGACATGGTCCTGTCATTGATCCCCTGCATTCTTAATTAACACCTGGAACAGAGGCTGCTTAGACAGATAGCTTTTTCTATTTACTCTAGCAAGTTACGAGATAACAAACGTCCCACTCTGACCCAAATTAGATAGTTATTTTCCACCTTTTTTCTCAGCTAGGCACCCAATACTTGTCAGACATTTAGCAATGCAGCTAATTTTCATCGATATGTAATCTTCCCCTTGCTGATGCTTAGGCTAAGTAACTGGAGGGACTGGGAAAGAGACAGAGAGGGAAGTTGACATCGAAGAGCTACAAAAATATCCAACATACACATAAGAAATGGGTATGTGGCTACATACCTCCCAAAATTTGGACTTACCATGGTGCTCTGAAGGGATGATTCCGCAACGCTGTAAATATAGGAACCATTTTAATAAATATTAATTGTAAGCATCTTTCCTAACATTCATCTTTTTGATATCCATCTTCTAAATAAATAAATAATTCATAATTGCACCAGCTATTTATACAGACGCAGCAGGCATCCATGCGAATAGGCAGAATAAAGTCCCTCAAGAATAACTCTGAGATCGACCAAACTACACACGTTTGAAGAATGGCTTCTTCAGAACTGAGGATGGGAGGTTCTAAAAGAGGCAGGGGGGGGCGGGGGAGAAGGCATGCCTGTTTATGTACCGCAGTGCAAGTTTAATAAAAAAAGAAGACACCCTATGAATGTTTTCTAACCTATGACTTAGAAGCTGAATATACTTTGCCCATTTACTTGGGGGAAATGAAGCGCAATTCAAAATCAGTCTTAACATTTCCAAGAAACCACATCAATGGTTTTCTTAGCTTCCTAAGCAGTTGTGCTGCTGGAGTTTATCTCTTGCTCCAACCTGCAAATCCAGCAGCATAATTACAATCAATTCAGCTCTGATGTTGTCAGAAGTTGGATGGCCCTGTATAAATCCAGCCCTGTGCACCAGAGACACCAGCACAAGCTATAATTTACAGGGCAAGATAATTGTTGAAATCTCACCATTCACATTTATAAAAAAAAACTAGGCCTATAATTAAAATTCAGAGGGGTATCCTTGCCTGACTGAGGAATAACTGTGATGTTTGCCTCGTTAGAAATATAAGGGTGTATTTTTTAAAAAGGCACTTTCTATACAGTAACTCCAATAAAACAGAAGATAATAACCCAGTACAGTTTTGTACCGATACAGTAAAAAAACATCAGGGTGAGAAGCCTTTCGCAGCTCAGATTTGTAACACCAGTGAAAATAGTGAAGTAAGATTAATGTGGTAACTGTGGTAACCTTACTTTCTTTAAAATGAAATAACTGTTATTAATAGATTTGAAATATAAACTATTCAGGAAAAAAATCCAGTTCAACAAAGCAGATTAAAAGATCTAGAATCCATAAATACTCTTCCATGTGTACCCTGGATTGATGGTACCATATTAAATTGCTCCACTTGTTTGAGCCTGAACGTCAGTGATTTAGCAGGCTTCTCTTTCTTTCCCCTGCATTGTTCCCTGGATGCCTCAGTAGCTAGTAGTTACCAGATGATCTTGGTTCATCTCGAAGGTTGAGATAAGCTCTGCATAGTTCTATGACATGGGACAATTTGGGAGTTTCAAGGAAGGAAGGAAGGAAGGAAGGAAGGAAGGAAGGAAGGAAGGAAG